CTCTTTTTTTCCCCCTTCTATAATTATACATTTATTCTTAAATGAGATTATTTTGTGTACTTGATCCCCCCTTGTGTGTGTTTCTTTGTTCACAGAAAAAAGATGGCGCTGTCCTGAATGCCAAGATGACACATGACACCATAACTGTAAGTACTTTTGGGAAATTTTGGAAGTAGAAAATAGTTCTAAGTTACTGTTCGGGGTTCTCGGGGTCCAGAGGTCACGGTGTTTGTCTCATCATCCTCATCATCATCATCGTCATCATCATCATCATCATCATCATATCATCATCGTCACCCTCCTCCTCCTCCTCCTCCTCCTCATCATCATCATCATCATCATTGTCACCCTCCTCATCATCATCATTAACATCATCATCATCATCATCACCACATTTTCCCACCTAACGCTGTCTAGTGTCTATGGTGTAGTGGTTAGATGATTTGCCGTCAATGCAGGAGATCCGAGTTTGATTCCTGAGTGGGAAGAATTTCATCGAGTACCTCATTCTTTCTGGCTTGACGAGGTCTGTATGAGTCTGTATCCCTCTCAAGATGAGTTGGTCCTGACTGGCCGGATCAAAGCTTATCTCCTAAATGATTGAAATTGTGTTGATTGGGAAGACATGGAATAACATGAAGAGGCTAGCCCAGGATAGAGAAAGGTGGAAAGTGTTCGTTCGTGGCCTATATCCTGATGCAAGTTGAGAAAGGCTATGATGATGATGATGATGATGATGATGATGATTTGGGAGGTGGGGGAGGGGTTCTCTTTCATTAGAATCCCCCCTACCCAAATTTTAAAAAATGTAAAACCCAAAAACGTGTACTTGGAGTTCAGGCCCCTAACAAGAGCTCTCCTTCTACCTCTGTGCTGAGCTTTTCTATACCTGTCACCATGCGGTGAAATCAGGCGCTCGTCAATTTTGGAGTATATGGAGCTTTTTGGTATAACCTTAAAGCCTGTTTATTTGTCTTGCTTTTGATGAATAAAATAGCCATTGATCTTGAAAAGAAATCGAGATATTTGTAATTGAAGGAGGTGGAGGTCGCCCTGTTTCAGAGGTAAAATAAGCCAGAAAATGGCCTCCAAAGTTGAGTACCGTGACTTCCTAAGCTTGAGAGCCCTTGGAAATTACAAATTATCTGTTCTTGGACCTCTTATCAACGAGTTCCAGTAAAATGTACACATGAATATGTTTTAACATGGACATAAAAGGTGTTGAGCAAATAACAAAAAATCTGTAAAAATTGCCAAACGGGCGGAATAATGCCAATTTCTTCGATTTTATTATTTCGATGAGCTCCTGATTTCACGACGATGCCTCATATGTGAGACAGCATGGGGGAATCAGGCTCTCGTCAAAATAATCAAAGTGAAGAAACGGGCATTTTTCCGCAGGTTATTACAATTTTTGTCAAATTTTTGCTTTTTGGCTCAAAACTTTTCACACCCATTAAAGAACTCATTTCTG